ATGTACTTATCATCTATTTCCCTATCTATCCACCCACCCATCCCTATTTATCCTTATTTTCCTATCTATCCAGCTATTTAATTACCTGTTTTCCTATCTACCCATCCACCTTCCTATCTATCATCTATTTTTCCTGTCTGTCTCTTCTGTAGAAGTGATTTCCCCTGTAGCCACCCAAGAGTTTAGTAACCAAGCCCAAAATAGACTCCAGCCTTCTTGACTTACAGCTCAGCTCAGCGTGCGTATCACCACACTGCCTCCAGCCTAGCATTTGGGTAGAAGGCATCTACCCTCTGCAGGGGGATCCTAATCCGGGGGCACCCCCAAGGAGAACGTGGCTAGATTTCAGCAGGTCTATGAACATCTCCCCATTATTCGCGTTCACCTTTCACTGAAGTGTAGAATTTCCTTCAATTATGAATGTAGGCAACATTGTTCTGACAAGGGGCCCTTAGGTTCACCAGCTGGCCAAGGGGACTGCCGTTCTGGAGCCTCTCCAGACTTTTTGATCCCTTCTCTTTAATACGTAGCACCCAGCTCTTTCTGCCTCAGTTTGGCTAAGCTGAATTTAGCCCCTTAACCTCAAAGGGCCTCAGTTTCCTCATCTGTATCATGTGGGGATTTCCTTCCTGATTGCCCAACTGATAACCCGGTCCCTGGACTTCTCTTTTCTCCTCCTCCTCCCCTTACCTGGAAGGCAACCTCTTCAATCCCCCCCCCCCTTTCTGTGGTGCCCTTATATCCTGTCCACTTGTTCATCCCCAGAAAGCACTCCCATCTCACCTTAGAAGAGAGACTTCTTCTCACCTTAAGGCTCCACTCAGATGCCACTTCATTCATCATCCTTACCTAGTTTTATGCATGTATACCTACAGTATCAGTCCCCTACCTGCCTTTAGGAGAACGTAAGCTTTTTAAAGGACTGATTTCTCTATCTCATTTCCCTTTCTCCCTCAGAATCTAGTACAGGGTTCTGTAAACAGTAAGCACTCAATCAGGGCTTGTCAACTGACTCAATATCTAGCCCAGGTCACTGGACACAGGTTTTGTTGTTATTGTTCAGTCCTTTCAGTCCTGTCTGACTCTTCGTGATCCCTTTTTTGGGGTATTCTTGGCAAAGATACTGGGGTGGTTTGCCATTTCCTTCTCTAGCTCATTTGAGGAGACAGAGGCAAACAGTTAAGTGACTTGCCCAGGGTCGTACAGCTAGTAAGTGTCTGAGGTTGGATTTGAACTCAGGTCTTCTTGACTCCAGGCTCTAGCTTTATGCACTATGGTGCCAACCTGGCTGCCCAGACACAGCAGGCACTTAAGTGCATTAATGCTTATTAGATCGAACTGGTTCTAGTCTTATTTCCTCCTGGAAGCCTTCCCTGATTAAAACTATTCACATTTTGATGATGCTTTAAGGTTTACAAGTCATTTTAATCTGATTACTGTTTTACCCCATGCCCTCAAGGCATTGGTCAGGAGACCTGGGCTTTAGTCCTGGCTTTACCACTGATTCACTGGGTGACCTTGGGTAAGTCACTTCCACTGTCTGGGCCTCAGTTTCCCCCTTTGTGCAATGAGGGTGTTGGACTGTATGAGCCCCAAAAGCCTTTTCTCATCCTAAAGATAGCACTTCTGGGAGCATCTCATACTTGTTACATACAAATACTTGTTACATATATATTGGAATGCTGGTCCTTCCCACAACTAAATCAGCAAAGGTCTAAGCAGGCAGGGAGTGGATTTTTAGTTCTCCTCTATCTGGTTCAATACTCTTTGAATCTGCTTCACTCCTGCTTATACAGTGGGCACTCTGTTTGTTGACCGAATAACTGTACAGTGGAAAGGATTTTGGATTTAGAGTCCTTGTTACCTGCATGACCTTGGACAAGTCATTGAATTCTCTAAACCTCAATTTTGTCATCTATAAAAATGAGGGAAATTGAACTAGATGACCTCTAAGGTCCCTTCCAGGTCTAAATCTACCATCCAATGAACCAGAAAAGAGGATTCTAAAGAACAGCGGACTTCCTCCCTCTCCTCACCAGTTAGGCCGGGGCTCCTTGGTGGACCTTGGTACCCCTGTCTTTAACTACACAGGCACGAAGCCCTCTTGGCTATTGTAAGCAAGACTCATGACAACTCAGCGTAGCTGGCACCTGGTGGGCTTCC